GATCCATATCGAGAACAGTGAACTGTTCGAGGCTGTCAAAGTCTTCAAACTTGACAGCCCAGATCCACTTGGGACGTTGGGGACAGTGACGACCTTCCCGTCGGCCAGTCGCACTGACACCGTCCCGTTGCCCTTGCTTTCTCGCAAAGCTTCGGACAACTTGTTGCTGTTACGAGCAACCGTCTGGCGGCGTGCGAAATTCTTCGACGCCCCAGAGTCAATCAAGATTCTAAAGGGGTGATCGTACCCCCGTACACATCCGTGTACTACGAGCAACCCGCCGCTGCTCTTCGCCGATTCGAGAGTGCGAAGACTCTCAGGGGCTAAGTCCCCGTGGTACGCGCCACCCGCGCACCCATCACGAAGACTTAGTTCTTCCCCAGTAGGGCGCCCCGCCCCTACTGGTTCCCTGCGTTCCCCTGTCCCCGGGATCCTGGCTTCTGCCAGCGACCCTTGAGGACGGGCTTGGGGAAGGACCGTCTGCGGAGTCTTTCCGCGGGACAGTCGCGCTTGAAGTGGCCCATCTTCCCACAGCCGAAGCAGCGGATGTCACGCTGTTCGGCGGACCCGAGTTCCATGGGAACTGGTCCGTTGGGGCTTGTTCGACCGGGAGCCGACAAGGAACTCCCAGGCCACGCTGAGGCCGGCGTACGCGCCTGGCGATGGCTGTATTCTTCTTGAAGAGCCACTTGAATCGCCTCTTCAAGGGTGTTTGCCTGCACCCGGAACAGCTGAGTGCGTGCGGGGCCCACTCGAAGGCCGTCCATGAACACAGTCATCTTGATGTGTTCATTGAGTGAGATTTCCCACTAGAGACGCCGTGAGCTCCCGTATCTCTTGCACATACTCGTGCAGTTCGCGTCTTCCTTGTTTACACGCGAGGAAGCGCGAACGCTGGCGGTACTCGTAGTTCGCCGAGAGAGAACGCGGCTCGGAGCTGTTCGCACAGCTGAGCCCAGGATGTGAAACATCCAGAGGATGTCGCTTCCCGAGTGTACACCCAACTCTTAGCACGACCGCTAAGGTTGGAGAGTGCAAAAGCAACACGCAGTTGCTCGGTCGAGATCAGAGCCGCGTCCATCGCGAGCTCTACTTCTCGGACCCAGAAGTGAAGGTTCTCGCCTTCCTTCCCTTCATACGGCTTTACCTTCAGCCGTATTGGCTTCGGGTGAGGCGGGTTTGCTCCCGCCGCCGGAGCCTGCAGGTTCTCCCGCACATGCGCGATGAGGCCCTGCTCGTACGCGTCGAATGCATTGACGCGCTCGAGCTGCTCAGCCGGTGTTGATACCACCAGGCTCTGCAGGGCCTCCATCCCGAAGATGCCTGCCATCTTCCGAACCGACTCGAACTGAGAGTCGTTCATATGGGAGAAGTCGTTCCTATCCATGGCAACGAACTTCGGAGGTTCAGGTAGTCTACCCGCGATGGCGTGGATTGACTACAAGTGCTACCAAGTGTGACGGGGTCACACAGCACCTTGCGCTAGAGGAAGTTATCTTCCGAGAGTATACAAACTCTCAGTGAACGGCAGTTCACAGGTCCCCTCTTTAATTAAAGAGAGCGAAGTGACCTAAATAAGGTAGATTGTAAACTGAGTATATTTATAGGTAGGTTAAGTTTGAGGTTAATACAAACTATCAGTTACCTATAGTAATGCAATGTCATTTAACCAATGGTTGGTTTTGAATGACCTTGGTACCTTGTACCAAATATCCCGGAGTATGACATGTCATACTCCTGAAGTGTGAAGTGTCACACTTCATGTAACCAGGGTACACTTAGTGCTACGTACCCCGTTACACGCACGATGCTGGGAAAACTGGTCAAGCAGCCAAAGCTTGGCTTGCCGATAGTACTGCATGGCAGTATTTCTAGCTAAAGGTTTGCCCCTTTTGCCTTTACTAAATGCAAGATGCATTCCAAACTTATCCATTACAGATACATAACATCTTCCACTGACATCGCGCTCAATGCATTTTCTTACGTACTCCTCTGCAACGCCCTCTGCCTTCAGAAATTTCTTGAAGGCAGATAACGCTGTAGCCTTGGCCCTCAAAGTGTTGCCAGGCTGGAGCTCGTCCAGGCCCATCGCTTCCGTCCGATGCTGTGCAAATATGGGAGTGGTACGTGTCTGACCTACTATTGGCATTGGCATATACATATTTTGAGCTGCGATCGGACTCGATACGTCCGATCGAATGGCTTAGAGGACTCACCTAACCCTAAGCGAAATTATTGGACAAGAATGTTGAGTGAAGCTTCGGCCATTGGTTGAAATGCGTAGAAATGATGTGATTGGCCATTTATAGGTGCCCAGAGGTCATACAAAAATTAGGTATGGTCCGATAGCTTATCATATTCATCCATATCTTAATTAGGAGATTTGCAAGTAATCTTACCCGTAAACGTCGAACATGGGCGTTCGCTTAGGACAGGGCGATGCGGTACATGTAAAGGCTGTTATTAATACCACTGTATCATGCATTTCAAAGCCCCAATTTTATCACTTTATCGACTTTTTCACTAATCAGGTACACTAGGAATTCGATTTTGTGCCGCCATCATGGTTGACGAGACGTGACTGTCGTTCGTTGTGCTGTTGTTGGTGTAAAAGTCAGGCCAACCCAACAATATGATCAGTATTGACATCAATCAGCACTAAAATTTAGTGATGGCGAAGTATTAATAACAGACGAAGGTGTTGACGCACAACTGCTGTGAAAACAGCATCAAGTTGATGCTGTAAAATGGTTGATGATCAACCCCTTTACATGTTGCTTCGTCATCACGGATGATGAATCGCGCATTGACATGTACCGGTAACCTACTTCTAAAAGGTACACGGTACACTGTACTGTACAGGGTCGGGAAACAATAATCGTAAAATAAATATGGTACATACTGTAGCTTGAAATGATCTTTGCAAAATATAGCCATAACTGTAATCCCAATACCGATAAGTTATTTATTCCTTTTTTTTAAACTTGTTGAAATTTGAGTTTTTTATCCGCTCTTTCTATTAGTACTTCGAAGTACTACGTAGTACTACTGTAGTAGTAAGATCATCTTCCGCTAGAGCTATTAAAGGCCGGATTATAATATGGCGCGTACGTTAGAAACCTGCTACAGCATCAGGGGTATCAAGTAGTGTCTCTACAGTAGTGGTCACGAAAGCACTACAAAAATCATGATTGAATGCAAGTAACGTGGAATTGATCTAAACGAAAAGAAAGACTTAAGCAGGCGGTCGAATTTGCCTACGTGCGGTCACTGATCTTAATCCGCCAGGTTGACGTGTTGAGTAGGAACATGTGAGTCCTCCAGCCGCTATTCTGCAGCACTTGGAGGAACAGTGGGAAGTCAGACGTCATCTTGCGATACGTAGATTCAAGCAATGGCTGATGTTTGGTGCTGCCCTCGTTCGATGACGAGGGTGTCGATGTCGTAGGAGGAACTGAGGCCAGAGCCTGGAGCACCAGAACAGCCTGGAAGAATGCTCGCAGCTCGTCAGTTGGCTTCGCTTCTGCCTCGAACATGACGTGCACTCGATCACCCACAACTGTCAGTAAATACGTCTCATCCTCGTAAATCTGCAGCAGTCGGTCGAGGTCCGTCGAGGTCGGAACGGCCTGATGGAGCTCCGATCCCATCATCAAATGACTCGTCACCGGTAGCACAGGGTCTTTGAAGATCGGCTCTTCCTGGTTAACACTGCGGATGGAATACTTTACCACCGGAAAAATATATCACGTCAGTAAAGAAGAGAGTAGTACCGCATTATCACGTCAACTTGAAGATGACTCACCCGTCCTTGATGGTCGGCAACATTCTCCTTACCAGGTTTGTTACCTGACATCAAGAACCTCTGCACCAAGATCAAGCCTCTCGAGCAGTTTACCGTGGGGATACACAAGCACGACACAGCGTTGTAGTTCGCGTACACGTGGACGAGTGTCAGTACTAAGAACGCCATCCACACCGCGTGAGGTGACGAGTTGACGGCATTGGCGAAATACATGCCAAACATCAGTCCAAACAGCTTAACTGCTGTCTCCTGTGACCCCTCTTTAGCCGCGCAATCGGCCATATTGTCCCTCTTAGCGAAGTGCGTCATCAACGAGGACCTCGTGGCTCCTGCAGCCACTCCACACATTGCCTTGCAGACACTCGAGACACAGAGCACTTCAGTCACTAAAGTGGGGAAGTATGGCGCCACCATATCAAGTGTTAAGCCTACGTCGTTGACCACATCAGCAAAGAGTCGCCATCGCTTGACGTTGACGTCGAACTTGGGGCCGACGAAGTAGGCGAAGGTCAGCCCTCCGATCATACCGGACCCGTCTCTTAGAACCCATTGCAGTGCTGCTGCCAGAGGTGTGGCCTTGTCGTCTCCCACCCCCACACTTTGCAGCACTGATTGCGTAGCCAACACGCCGCGAAGGTAACTGCACATTGCCTGCAATGTGTCCCAGAACTGGAAACCGAGGTAATCTTCACTCACACTGTCCGGATACCCCGCAGGTAAAAACATTTCTTGCAGCTCGCGACTCAGTCCGGATAAAGTTAAGCAGCCAGCGTTGCTTGCGCGACCTTGACCTGTTGACAATAATTGATCTCCTTGTTGTACGTAGCGACGCGGCGCCTCATTAGCGCAGACCGGACGCGAGTCGAACTCGGACACGCGCACACCTTTGCCATCATTGGAGAGAGGAGGAGACGGAGAAGGGGACGGCCCCACCTTGCGCTGCGTCAGCTCCGTCATTATTGCGAAGTGACATGTGTCCGTCAAGAGGAAGACACTGACTCGAGGTGTAATACTGACAGGGTGTGGTAAACATAGCCTCACTGAAACGAGGTAGCATAGTGACTATAGCTGGATTTTGAGTGTGGTGCACATCTGAGACACAAAGCGTACCCATCTCGTAAAATTTGGTGCCAGTCTCTGTTTCGCTACCTACACCTCTGTGCTCTGATGGACGTGGACTACGACGGGCAGACGGCGTTCGATGCGGCCGCTAATGGCGATTTCCCGCTTGTTGTCCTTCTATGGGGTATGGCAATGGCTGTGCAGCCCAAGCCCGTTGATCTGCTGGCAGCTAAAGACCAAAGCGGGAACACACTGGTACATTACGCGGCTGCGAGCGGTGAAGACACGTGCGACACTATGCACTTCCTGATGCAGCAAATGCACGCCTCCGGACGCGAACAGCTGCTCATGGACGCCAAGAACGACGCAGGAGAGACGCCGCTCATGTACGTGGGAATGTGTGTAGACTACGAAATGGTCGATCGTCTAATCAACTTGTGGGATGCATTCAAACAGGAGAGCATCTCATGCCGGCAATATGCGGCTAGCAGACACACTACTACGCTCGGGATACGTCGATTTATTGGCTCACGACGTACGGGGCAACACGGCAGCTCATCACGCTGCTGCTCAGGGTCATCTGTGGATGCTGCACTTCTTACTGGAGGCTCAACAGAGACGCAATGCTGCAATGGCGAAAGAAGGGGACCCAGTGGAGTCTACGACACTCGGCGGCTACTCGCTACAACACCGGAGTGTCCTACACTACGCCTGTATGAGCGAGTACAAGCCTATGGTGCAGTATCTCTTGACCGGAGGCTTTGACGCAAACGAAGCAGACGCACTGGGCAACACGTGTATGGACCTGGCTAAGCGACGCAACTTGTTGTGGCTAGAAGACTTACTATCAGGTAAAGCCAAGGCGGCTGATCCACCGACACACATGCGCAAGACGCGAGGGACTGTAGCAGTGCTGCATGGCTCGCTGTTGCTGGCGATTCTGGCCACAAGCTACTGGCTCGTGTGGTGGCTGGCTGTGCCGTTAATCTTCGTTATACTGGGCAAGTCGCTTGCTGCCTTTCGTCAACCAGGTCACGGTCACGGCCATTCCCACGGAGCACCAAAGAATCTGGCCAACTTGCACCCATCCAAGCGCAACGTGAAGGTGGCCACGAATGTCTCGCTTGAGCACATTGAAGAAGGTCCGACGAAAGAAATGTCTGCAAAGAGCAAGAAGGTCAAGGACGAGACGAGTGTGGGGCTCCACACGCTAATACGTCCGCAGCCAGAGACCGCCATGGGCATCTGGATGGCGTGGGTGGGTCTTTTCACCTTGTTGTACATTGTATTGTGGGTGGATTCAGACTACCAAGACTTCAGAGACAGCCACACGGTGTTTTTGGGTATTACCGGTGGAGCTGAAGTTGTGTTTCTAGTGGTGTGGGTACGACTGGCTTTCTTCTGCCCGACCGACCCGGGGACGATCCAAACGTACGAACAAGACGTCAAGACGATGCTGGAGAAGGTGTCACGATGCGAGACTCCCGACATGACCAAGTTCTGCCGCACGTGTCTTGTTATCAAGCCCATTCGCTCCAAGCACTGCGCTCAATGCGGCATCTGTATCGCCCGACATGACCACCACTGCGCGTGGATCAACCGGTGTGTGGGCTACGGCAACCATCGCTCTTTCTTTGCCTTTTTACTGCTGCATTGCCTCGTGTTGGGGATCTACGCAGCTCTCGCCATTCTCGTACTGTCCGACGCTACACGCGACCTCCACACTAAACGAGTGAAGTCTGACGGTAGTGGCAACAGCGACAGTTTGTCGGCAATGGACGTCTGGATAGAGATCCCGTCACTAGTAAAGAAGCACCTCGTGGTGATCATGGTGCTCGTGTGGGACTTGATGGCCTTTGTGGCACTCGCTATGATGGTGAACCAGCACGTGAACAACATCGAGCAGAACCTCACGATCAACGAGCAGATGAACTGGCGACGATACGCTTACATGACTCAGAAACCTGCGTCTGAATCGAAGGACGGGAAGAATGGCAAGAAGACTGAAGTCGGAGCGATGTTTAATCCATTTGATCGCGGATTTAAGACGAATGTGGTGGAGTTTTTCTCCCGATCAGGTAGCTCAGCAGTCGACTATCGCAAGGTGTTTACTGTGCCATCTTCACGGGTCGGTGTCAGTAAATCTGCAACGAGTACGACGGTGGAGATGTCGACAACATCTGAAGACATCGAAGAGAAAGACAATGCAGGCGATGTCGTGTAGAGAGATGGGGCGCTGTAGTGGAAATATAAGCACGTCAGTTTTATTGCAGTGGCAGTTTTTGCTTTCAGTGTGGCCGTCCCTTCCTCATTTTTGTGCTATTTCGAAGAACCAAGAGCTCGTCATGAAGTCGCAGACGTCGTCATTGCCTGATCTCTGTCTGCTCATCAAGCAGCGAGACGTAACTCGGCTTCGCGAGGCATTGGAAGCCCACCCAGTACTTATCCAACAGCAGCGATGGGTAGATAGATAGCTGCGCTGTCATAAACACCAATTGTCCACTTTATCATTGAAAGCCAAGCGTGTCGTTTGCAGTCCGGCGTCACGGGTCTTCATCGAGCAGTATCCGAGGATGACGTAGCAATCGCTCAACTCTTGCTGAGGTTCGGCACTAATGTCAACCAACGAAGCACTTGGGTACTTACCACCTCTTTTATCATCTTTCACACCCATTGAGTATAATTATTCCTTAACAGGGCTGGTACTCGCCGCTGCACTTGGCCTGCAAAGCTGGTTCAGAGGAGATGATCTGGCTGCTTCTCAACAACGGGGCCAACTGGAACCTGCCTGACAAGGTACGCAGAGTATTACAACGAGGTGTTCACAATCTGCATAATCAAACCCACTTCGAAGTACAGGCCAAGAAGACGCCACTTCAATGGGCCGTCCGGGCTGGCAAAGCCTCCGTCGCGTATCGCATCGACCAGCAGCTACACGCCAAGGCCAAGCTGGCTCTGCAACAAGCACGCGAGCAACAACAAACCAACAAGTCCCCATTGACATTCGCAAAACTTTGCGGATAAATAATAGTTAAGCTTCCTACACTTTTTGCCTTTCCCTACATGGCCTCTTCACCGTCTCCGCTCGCGACCGCCGGAGCTTCGATTACTGGCCGTCAAACTGCTGAAGCTGCCCAAACTCTTGAGTTGCTGCGGCGTGAAAGAGTTGACGATCGCCTTCGGAGTTGTACCGAACCGCGTACTCCTTCCGCTGCTCGTGGAGCTGACCTCGTGTTCACTGGACTGACGCTCAAGCGTCGCTCGAGCCTGAGCTTGGGCTTCCTCCTGTGCCGCCGCCTTCTCCTTCTCGAACACCTCGAGCAGATCCGTGTTCTGGAAATTGTCCACGAACGCGTCAAAGTCGTGAGAAGACGAGAACCACGACTTGATCTCCTGTCGCTTGGAGTGGCCACTACTGCTCGAGCTCTTCTTCTTCTTGCTTCCCTTCGCCTTGCGTTCTTTTTCAGCACACAACACCAGCAACTTGTCGTAGAGCTCACGCAGTCCACTCACAAGCGCAGCCGCACACTCGGAGTCGTAGTGTTTCCTCTCGTCTAGTCCATTGGGGTCCGACGACTGCACACCTTGGTAGTTGCTGTCTGGGTCAGACACGTTACTGGCTGAAGCGGGTGTCATCATCCAACTGGATCCCGATCGACTCGTGCTGTGCGCATCGTCGAAGCTACGCAGCGTCACGTCCACGGAAGGATACGCCCCCACAGGAGACCGCATCGACGACGCACCCGAGACCGAAGCCGGCGTCGTGGGTCCACGACTCGAAACCAGCTGCTGCGACGAGTGTCTGCGACCCATTTTCGTGCGCATCTTAAGTCGTTGTCTCGTGATTTTCTCAATGCGCTCCAGGAACTGCCGTCGCCACTTCTTGGGCAACGGCACGGCATTCCGGAACGTCTTGTCGGTCGCTAACGAGTCCACGTCGTCCAGATCCACCACGACCACACACGACGACAGCAAGCGAGGATCGTTGCCACATTTCTTGGAGAACGCCAAGCAGCTGTGCCACGTATCAGCTGTAGCGCCAAGCAAAAACGGCGGCTCTTCCTCCGTGGGCTCCACTGATCCAGTCGTCGAGCTGTTCCCTCCGTTCAAACTGTCAGTGCTGCCACGTGACGAAGAGTACGAGCTTCCCGTTGAGCTGCCACTGCCACTGCTCCATGCCCGCCAATCATGCGACAGTCTAGAGAACGACCTGCGGCTCTTCGGTCGAGCCGCCAGCTCCGCCTGCGCATGCTGGTACACTGCGTCGTGGAGGAGTCTCCAAGACGTCACGGGGACGAACGGCAGGAACGTGTGTTGCCACCGGAACGGCTCCAGCAGCTTCAGCAGACTCGTGGTCACTTCCTGGATCTGCGGGTACGAGTTCCCCACGACTACAACGGAATTCTCCAACAACAAGACTCCCAACAACTTCACTAAGAGCTTAGCTCCAAGTAAGCGCATCGAGCGTAGAACTCCGGCGCCGACTGCAGCGTCTTCAGCCTCCAACATGTCGTACTCGGACAAATACCATTCTGGCCGTGGGATCTCCTGACGCCACGCTCGTGTGTCGCCCTCACGGACACCAAACACCTTGAACTGAAGCTTCGGATGCGTCCCGAACGGGGTTCGCACTTCCGCGGAGTACTCGTAGCCAATCGATAACACCAGTTGTCGATCTTGGATCAACGCGTGGGAGTTCATACGAGAGACGTCAAAGTCCAGCATCCCGTTGGGATTGCCAGTGTTCACATCGGATGGAACTCGTGTCCCGCCTGGCGTTACGGCCGAGTCGGTTGACGCGCTCTCTGGTCCTCCGAAGTAAAGTACAGCGATCTGCTGCGGGTCAAACGCGTCCAGAAGTGTCCGTAGATAGCGCAAGTTGCACGACCGGAACTCGGACGTCTCGATCTTCCCCTCCACGTACTTGGACTTGGCATTGCGCCACAAGTTGAAAATCCACCAGAGCTTCTCAGACTGCACTTCGTCGAAATCACACAAGCCGATTGCTCCGTTGGAGCTGCTGCCTTCGTCACGTCCGAACCCGTCGCTTCTGCCCAGAACAAAGTCTTCTCCAGGGGGCAACGACCGGAGATCTCCCAGATCAATGAACTTGACAGACGACGTGCGCTTCAAGGAGCCATCGCTGCTCTCTCCGGACTCTGCTAGCACTGGCATACTTCCCCCTTCATGAACAAGCCCGTCTAGTGTCAGCTCTGCGCCAGGAGACGGGTAATTGGGCACTGCTGGCTGCGGAGCTGAGCGTGATCTCTCACGTGTATACCGGCGTGGCTTCCGTTCGCTGCTCTTCTTCGACGTATGCCCAATATGAGCAGTAGCTCCAGACTTTCCCGTCGTCGTGGACGGAGGAGGGACATTAGGCCGCTCGCTCAAAGACGCAAGACCTGTTCGAGGCGTCGCGGAGCTCTTGATTCCACCTGGAGCGCCGTATGACGCCGCACCTTCTTGATATGGATTGGACGCCAGCAGCTCGGAGATCGACGACATGGACTGGTTCTTCTTGTGTCCGGCTCGCTTCCCTGCCACACCCGCGCCACTGGGAGACGGCGTGGACACCACCTGCTTGCTACTTGCACTCATTTGCGGCGACGGCACTGGGATCACCGCAGAAAAAGAAGACGACCTCGAGTTGTTACTGCCCACACTGGAGACCGAGACACTCGAGCCTGAGGGCATCGCAGCAGCTGCGAGATTCGACGTCGACCCAGTCGGAGGCAGTCGCTTGTGAGATCTCTGAAGAGCTCGGAACGTCTGCAGCTGGTACACGATACTACTTAGACACATACGCGCACTCAACAGCTCATCCAGATGAGCCAGCAACGTTTCTTCCACATACTCTGGTACACGCTCAAACTGCTGGAGTTGACAAGCGGCAAGGATGAGCTGGAGCGTCATGGCTTCCAGTTTGACGATGAATCCTTCGCTGAAGTTCAAGATCGGCACCACGCAAAAGCGTCCTTTGTTGAGTCCACGGGGGAAAGGCATCGAGAAGTCATTGCCAAAGCCTGACGAGTGTAACATTTGCGCATCTGCGACGTCGTGGAACGCCACCCGACGGAAGAAGACGCCCTTCATGACACGCACAGCCTCTTCCCAGAACGCTGTGGCTTCTTTCAGATGCTTCTCGCTCTTGTACGACGCGATGCGCTCCAGCCAGACCCACACTTCACTGCAGAAGATCAGCGTCTGAAGGAAACACGCAGGACTCGCCACTTGTTCGGCCAAGTTCAACGCCGGACGCAGCAACTTCTGCGCTTCTAGCAGCGTCTTCCGTGTCTTCTCGATCGTGTCGTCGCCGCCTAAATCCTCCAGCTCCAACGCTCCTGACGATTCTTTGCCCGAGCTTCGACGATGCAGATGAGACTTGAGCATCTCGTCGTCCTGGTTGCTACCGAGAGCGAAGAACGAGCGCTGAATCGGCGCCAGCATGAAGGACACGATCTCCAGCAACACCTTGAGTTGGTACAGACTATCGTCCAGCACACGATACAGATCAAACGCTGTCCAGAAGGCGTTTTGCGCCTGTTCCTCCGCCTTGTCGACGTCGCGAACACACGTAGCAAACTGGACAATCCGCTCGTTCAGACGCTGCTTCTCGTCCTTGTTCAAGCCGTACAGCGAGACGCCCAGAGGCTTCAGCATTTCCTCCACTTGCGCAGGAGACACGACACTCCCGACAAACGTGGAGCCCGTACGTCCTCGTCGAGTCGGCTCTTCGCCGTCACGTCGCATTTCCCACTCGCGCTCCTGCTGTTCTCGACAGAAAGCACGCAGCAATTTCCCGTCCAGAACATACAGCTGCGCTTGCTTACGAACATTATCGCGATCGTTCTTGACGTGGGCCAATGAGAGCCAAGCATACGCATTGCCGAAATCCTTGAGCTTGAGATACATCTTGACGCGGCACATGATGTAGCGGAGTGTAAACGACATGTCGAAGCAGTAGCGAGCCTCACTGCCCATACCTCCCAGACTTCGGCCGCCCCCACTGCTGCTAGTTCCAGGTCCAGTGCCACTGCTACTGCCGGGTCCACTGAACCCTTTGATGTTCTCTTGCAGACGATCGCAAAAAGCGGTGGCTTCTCTCTCCATCAGCGAAAACATGTGCCGACACGTGTCGAACACCCGCATCTTGAGAGCGTCTTCAGCCAGCAGCATTCTCAGCTGCGTGCGCTTCCCACGAGGCAGTCGGGAGCTGTAGTTCAAGAGATGTTCCAGTACACGCATGCCTTCCAAACATCGACCGCTGGAACGATACACGTCTCGGACCAACAGGTGCAAGTTGATGTCGTGATTCAGCCACGTATCCACCTCACCCGCGTTCCCAGTACTGCGTGACGAGAGATGGAACGATCCCGACAGCGAAGACGACACTGAGCTGGACGTTGCAGTCATCATCGTCCCGCTACGACTGGACGGAGCCTCACTGCTGGAGTAACTTCCATTGATAACAGACGACAAGAAGTGCGGAGGCAGCAAGTTCGTGTGATCTCGTAGAAAATGACACGCAGTTGCCAGATACTCCTCAGCACGCGTGAAGTTTCCCTCTCGAATCCACAACTTGGTCATCTCCTGTGTTAAATACACATACACCGTGATGTTGCCTTGTCGCTGAGCTGCACACGTCACCTTCTCGTGTAAGGGAAGAGCTCGATGCACATCGTCGGCCTCCAATGTGAGCTTACAGAGTAGTCGATCCAGCTTTTCGTACTCGCAGCCTTGGTTCAGGAACGTGAAGATAGCGCCAGCAGCTTCCAGACACAAAATACCGTAGCGATACTTGCTGTTCTTGATCAATATGTTGCCCAGACACTCAAGGGCCTCGCGACCTAAGTCTGACAGCAGTCCGTCGTTGTTAAATATGCTCAGATATGGTACTGGTACTGTCTTGTCTCGGCTGCGTAGAGACGGCATCTTGGACAGTTTGGCCACCGCTTTCTTCGAGCACGACTCTAATAATCGTAGAGCTTCATAAGCCAGAGATTCCGCCACTCGGAGGTTGCCATGAGACGTGGTAGTGGACACGTGCATTGCAGCCAGAACACACGCGCACTTGGCTTTAACCAGCTGGAACTTTCCCGCTGGTATCCTTTCGTAGAAGAAGCTCAACGCCGAGTTGCGACTGCGAGACGAAGGCCTTAACAGCTCAAACAGCTTCGCACTCGCACTCCAGCCTCCCAGTCCTTTCGCGTGATCACCACGTTCATAACCACTGTCGCGATGATCCGGATTGGACGAGGAGGAGCTGCTCCTGCTGTCCCGGTTGTGAGGCATTAACCCTACGAGAATTGGGTCCACCGTGGCCTCGTCGTCTTCAAACTCCAACAGCTCCTCAAGCGCAGGGAGAGAGATGTCAGCCAGCGCACTCTTGCTGTCGTACAAGCTCTGGATATCGCACATAATGAGCGCCTGAAGACAGAACACGTCCGAAGAGAGAGCGTACTGCCGCGTCTCATCCACTAACACGCCCCTCTTGTCACCACTGGCTTTGTGTCCCGTGTATCGATTACTGCGACTTTCCGGACTGGTGTTTAAGTGTTGGAACAGCGCGCCGTAGTACTGCAGCACTTCGTTGACGATCTGAGACGCCGAGTCGCCCATCACTGGCTCAAGCGGCAAGAAGGCCGGAAGCTGGTTGCAAATCTGCCACTTGTACTCGTACTCGCCACTCGCAAAGCCTGCCAAGTGATGACAAACGTATCGCAGCTCAATGAGCGCAATGACGTTCGAATACTGCGGGAAAGCCTCTGCGCAATGCAGTAGGATGTCCTGGAACTGCTGGATCCAATAAATAGTAGTCTTGTTGCCTTGAGATGACGCTGACGACGACGTGGACAGCATCGACAAGGACAGATGCGTGGCAAGCGGCACGACCGGCTTGGGGCCGTACAGACGAGCTGCTTCCTGCAGGATCTCGACGCTGCATCCCACCACGTAGTCCAAGTCCACAGGCGACAGATTCTGGGCCCAGTTCTCGTCCGTCATGCCTGTGGTCGAGACCTTCTCAAAGTACATCCTCACCAGCTCTCGATTCTCCTTATCTTCTCCGAAAAACCGGTTATGTGTGATCTGCTTGAAGAAAGTATCCACAAACTCCCGGCCGAACGGAAGCGACACAAGAGCGTGGAACTGCTGGTTCTTGAGCTGTCTGGGAGGCGGTAAGCGGTTGCGCTCCGCCTCCATGTGATGCGACACAATGGCGCAGTCTGGCACCACCAGATCCGCCAGCCATCGCTCATACTTGTTCTCGGTGAAACTGGGGAAGTTGGTGCGATCTCGCTCCAAGTGACTAAGTGTGCTCGACGGCTTGGGATACCGCTCTATCCGGACAGCATACGCGGACGAGTTGGCCACTTCTAAGAGTCTCAGCTTGTCCACTAGCGCGTACTCCACGGCATTGGACGACGACGCTGATGCTGACGTCAGACTGGACCTGATTCCGTCCACACTGCCGTCAACACTCGCTCCTGACTGGTGGAAATCGCTGCGTCTTCGTTGGAAAAGCGGCTCCTCTGACGGTCTGCGTTGCCGTCGCTGTGCTCCGTCTAAGCTGAAGGAAACGCCGTCGTCCATCTCGTCGTCGTCGGGCAAAGTCTCGCCGTCCAGCACTTCGTGTAGATTCGGTAGAAAGAAATTGCCATTCTCCGCTCGTCTCCTGGTCGGGTCCATGCTGTCGGAGGATCCCAGAGCGGCGTCGGTCTGCTCATCGAAGCCGAACTCGGCGTCCCAGTCCTCGTCGCTGTCACTGGCATCTTCTGGTTGGTCGGTACGGGTCACTCGCGCGCCATCTTTGACGGACGAGTAGGAGCTGTACAGACCTCTATCGTCGTCTTCGACGTGGCCACTACTGCCACTAGACGCGCCCACTTCGCTGCCGCGTCGAGCGACGCCATTGGAGCTGCTGCTACTCCGATGTTTGTACAGCGTATCAGCCAGCAAGTATTCGGCGCCGACGCTGTCCTGTCGTCTCCAACGCGTCCGAGGTGCGGCGGCCAGGAAGTCGCTACTCCAGTCCTCGACCTCGTCCTCTGTAGACGCCGAGAGCCCCACAACCACCTGGTCACGAGGCGGCGGCGGTGTGCTGCATAGTGTCGTGTGGGCTGCGCTCTTGTGGTGGTATAAAGTGGCGGCGTGGCGACGGCCCGATCCCGCACTGGACTGCGAGGCCGAGAGCGCCGCCCGCGAGAGCGAGGGCGACGACGCCGATGTGGCTGCCAAGCGGCGATCCGGAGCCGACTTGGGCTCGCTCTTCTTCTTCTTGTGCAGCACGCGCTGCATCCGTCCGAGGGTCTACGAGGTCAAGGGATGCGGCGACGACTGAGGCATAAGGCTGCGAAGTCCCCCACGCGCCCTGCAGAGAGATAGATGATACTCCTAAGGAAGCGACTTGGGCTTCCTTCGGTGGCGCTGGAGTGCTAAAGTGCCAAACGCGGGCCCATTCTGGCTACGGCTGCCGCCCTTGCTGTGCAACAAACGTCGACACAGTGAAATTTTCAGAGCCCTAACCGTTCTTGGGCAGCGGTATCGTACTGCTCGACAATTGAAAAGACAGAATATAATATGTTTTAAGAGGAGAATGAAATGAGAACTTGGCTTTTGAAAGAATTTAGATCACTTTGGATATTCAGTATCAAAGTCAGAAAGGCGACAGACGGGGCGAGGCCAAGCTCACTTATTTTAGCTCCCGCCTGAAACAAAAGCCAAGTGTAGGTACCGAGGGCTCACACCCCGATTTAAGACCGACACCATGGTGAAATGCTGCATCAAAGCGACTCGCCGACATGAGCGTTGTCTCTACGTCCGAACGTCGCTATGGCTGCGACTTAGACACAGGACAGCCTCGAGTCAATTGCGCTGCAGCGGAAGCAGCTGGTCCGTAAACCCGCTGCTTCGGCTCGCCGAGCTTTTTTCGACGCCCTTTTCTAGCGGAAGCAGGTCCCGTAATTGCGTCCTCCGGCTTTTGGAAAATTTGGCAGCTTCGACTGTAGCCAAGTCGCAGACAACTTCAATTTCGATGGCGTCTTTGAAGTCCAAAGTTTGAAATGAGTGGCGAAAGCCGCCGTTGCTCCAACCGATTCGTACCAGATCTTGTATCCCAGAGTCGAAGAAGTGCAATTTAATAGGTTTGTCAAAGCCTGACAAATTTTGTCGTCCCAGATGGAGTTTCTTCTATTTCCGAAGAAGGGGCCGTCAGAAAAGAATTTTCAGCTGCAGATGTGCGATTAAATTATTAACTGTACAGGCTACGGAGAATTGACAAATTTTGTTTAGTATGGCAGAATATCGAGTCGGACAATCAGTTTGTGAAACTTGAATATTACAGTAGTGGTTGGCCAATTAGAATAGATTTTTAAAGAGGTTTATCCAATCAAAGCTAAATATTACATCTGTTTCAGATAAAGGCTTTAGTTTGGACACCTCGGATATATTGTGTCCGAGTTTTTTTTAATGTAAAATATTTTGTTTAACAAAGTCAAGTCAAAGTAATAGTATAAAAATAGCATGGAAATTCGGACAATGATCAATTTTGAAGGGTTTGGCAAAAGAGACAGCACTAGCCATTCAAAGAATCGTCAACAGTCGCATATGTCAACCAAGTCGTTGATACCCGGAAACTCCCAGCGGGCACGCCTGACGGCGCTTAATGCCTTCGAGCGCTTCGCGGTGTCCGAAGGCCTAACCGTTAAGCAGATATAGGCGCAGACAGCTCTGGCGATACTCTCTACACGGTGCTCGACAAATTTGCAGTTTTTCTCGCGTTTCAAGAGAGCTCCAAGGGTTCTGTGCTCTCTAAAAATTCTGTTGCTAGCTACTTTGGAAACGTGAAGAATCACCTCTTGAAGATTTTCCCAGCGTTGGTTGCAGTCTCGAGCAAGCGCTTGCAAAAGATTGCATCAATACTCGACAAGTATTGCTCGAAACGAGGCACAGACTTTACCCATCAAGCCCCAGCATGCACCAAAGCGGATCTCCGTGCGCTTTCGACAACGATTCTCAAGGGCGCTGTATCACCTGATGACTACAAGGACGCTGCTCTACTCAATCTTTTGTGGTATCTCTTAGGGAGGTCATCAGACACGATGTGTCTTGTCAAGAGTTCAGCCTGAGGTGTTTAAACATCTATTTGATACTAAATGTTTGCATTATTTGTTAGGAGGCTGCCTATTCATCAACTTCAAAATAATGAAATCCGCCACAAACCAGGGATCTTCGCTCTTTAGCGATCCTTACGATTTTACGTCGTGTCCGATTCACGCGATAGCAATTGCAACAATTATGCAGACTTCCCCGAGTGAATTTTTGCTGGATCAGCTACCGCGTGAAACAGTCAGAATACAAGAAGCAAGTAAGACCAACATTCCACTTGTCGATCTACTGCGTTCTCTCGCAGATACGCCAACCGGAAAAGCTACGGTTAGCCGAGAGAAGACCGAGTCTGCTCCAAAAGCTGCTGTACCCGGAATCCACGCGTATGTAAATCGTGTCCTCCAAAGGTGGAGCTTAGCTACCTCGGCGAATGGCTGCAAGCTAACGAAGGGGCTTACCTCGCACTCGTTTCGAAGAGGAGCTGCACAGAATGCCAATGGTGACTGCAACATAAGTACACCATGGATTCTTGATAGAGGCGGATGGAGCATGAGTGCAGTGAGTAAGGAATTCAACTATATTGTAAGTACCACACATGAAGATCAGACCGTCGGTAAGACTTTGGCTGGGTGGGGGATTAAGGACAAGCCTCGACTACGTACATTGACCATCTTCGACGCTGTAGTCGCGCAACGGGTCCGTCTGGTGCAAGAAAGTCTATTCGCAAGTTCCCTTGGGCTTCATGACGCATTCGTTTTGAGAGAGGATGTACTGGATGGGCTAACGGCGTCCGCTGTCTTGCACTACCCTGACATGGCTAAGCTCGCACCACAGTCGCTCTACATCAAGCGCGTACAGCAAATGCTGAGTCAGAATCAAATTTCAGAGATGGAAATTACTGCATGGGCTCTCACCATTCACGCGGACGTGGCGAAACAAGAACGGAGTTGCATACTCACTTCAGTCGCTGAAAACGGGCCGCAGGCAAGCGTTGAAGACTACGTGCGCAAGAAGACTACACTCCTTGAGCAACAAACGTCTCTGATTAGTGAACTGACCACACAAGTCAATTTGTTAGCTGATAGAATGCGTCAGCTGGAAAATGGTTCTTCGTACGTACCTGAGCATTCCAAGATAGCCGAAGCAGCCGAAGCAGCCGCAGCACCTTTTTCACAGATGAGAAGTCAAGGCAAGACTCAATCGAGAGCTAAATCTCCTTCGTCGGTCTGGTACGAATGGTTTTGTGACCTGTCACCATTTACACTCACCAACAGAAGACGTTATCATGAGTGCAAGGTGACGGTGGTGTGGTGTTGGAAATCCCACGTGAACTCTAGCTACAGATGTAGTTAGGATGTTCCCACAACAATACGTCTACTAGGATAGTAAACGATCGTTTGGGTGGACCTGAAGACCCCAGTTCTGCCCTTGCACCGGGACAAACTGGACCTTGTAAACTACTTATATAGGCCAACCAGTAAAATAAGAACACGCTACTAGCACGAGCAAAGCTAGCAGGTGTTTTGAATCCTCGTGGTCCCAACAGCGGAAGGGTACCAGGCACGGGTAAGCCTTTTACGAGATCACCGAGTGTTCAACACTCGGCTGGGAGAAATAAAAGGGAGGCAATTCAAGCACTCCCAGTCGTGCAAATAGGCAACAATAAGCCGTCACGGAAAACCTCCCGATAATAATCGGCCAATACACAAAGTCTCTTGGCCTTGCCGGTGAACCCTCGCTACAGAGCTTCGAGTTCACCGACAGGCATAACACACTCAAACAAGCTTGACCTGACGCTTACCTTGAAGCCGGACGTCGCTCTGTGTGCTTGAGTGGAAATTCTGTTCTGTATTTAAGCTTACCCTTTCGGGTCTATTTCTAATTAGAAGTCCTAATTAAGTATACAAATATCAAGTGAACAATGATCCGTTATGGATCTTCTTGCATGCCAAGCGTCGTCTGCACCGTCGCATGAGCATCTTTAACGGTCCGCGCCCTGTCCCAGACGGTGAACGTGTCTTCCAAAGGTCGCTGAGTATTCCGCGAACTCATCCCAACCGCCACTGAGGGTTCGTACCGTAGATGGTCCGCTGAATGCGAATCCGGCCAGTCCATTATTAATAATAAGGACAGCCTGGATTCAGTGACATATACCCGTATCCAATACTCGTTGAACGTTCGGAGGTGACGCCGTCGAGTCCCTGGCACCTTGGCGTCTCCGTACATTACCTGACCGAGGGTTCGTCGCTTGAACATCTTGGGCGGTGTCACGTCTTTGTCGACGGGTGATAATCCGCAACTACGGAGAAATCACTACACCACAACTGCCCCTGTCGCAATGGAAGCCACGGTACTGGTGCCCGCTGTGACATTTCTTCATTCTCCAATTCACCATCTTGCCACCGTATGTCCGAGCGCCTGAATCGAGTCGTGTCCGACGCATTTCAGCGTCTCAAGCCCCGTAGACGTCGCGAACGTGGACAGCTGGAGGTACGCCAGCTCATCCTTCTCTTGAATCATCGGTACCTTGCTCATCACCTCGCATTACTCGACTTGTTTCTCAGGAGGGCAAGACCGAGGGTTCGAACGCCCTTCAGTCTGCTGCACTTCCCCCGACAGCAGCGTCATCAACCGGTCCTCCGGCGCCTGCTGCCCCGGACTCTTCACTCCCTGCGGTAGCTCCTGCAGCACTCCCCGTCGTCGCTGAATCCGCGGAGATGGCTCCTGCTGCTCTCCTGTTGAAGCTGGTACCGAGGATTCGCAGGGTCCGGCTCAGCTCCAGCTGCCGAGGCTCCGGTTCCTGATGAAGAGGAGAAGGAGAGTGGTGACTCGACTTCGTTGACACTCTTGGTCACCGCGGCCAGGCACTTGGAATCGATTTGAATCCTCGCTGCACGTTCCACGACGTTCTCCAGCATCTCTGCTAGCTGTTGAGGTGTCCCGCGTGACTTCGCTTTCAGTGGTTGCTCTCCGGTCGGCATTCATGTTTTCCTTTTCTTAATCCACTTCCACAGCGTAATCATGTTCATGTTGTTCTTCAAATGCATATACAATTTGTTGTTGCAGTAACGTTTTTCGTCTGTTACCACAGGCTGCATCGCCCTGTGGACAGTTCACACGTGATCCAGTCACGCTAGTCTTCGTCCGCCACTTGCGCCATCTGCAGCCGATTCTCGCTCTTCTTGGCTCGC